GGAGGGAAGAGTTTCAAAACCAAGCAAGTTTGAGAAACACTGCATGCTCAGTCACTGTCTTGGAAAGGCACAATGTACAGTAACATAGCAAAGGCTCTGAAAAATCCTGCAATAAAATTTTCTTATAATTAGTTGTCACACTTATTTGTCCGCAGAACCTTCTTTTTTCCAGGTAAGGCTCACTAACATCCTGTGACAGTAATAGAGGCTAAAATTATGCATTCTGTAATCAGAAAGACCCAGATTTTGAATCCTGGCTCTGCCTCTTACTTGCTATTGCTAACAGTTGCTGACCTTTCCTAAATCCCAGTTTCCTCATCTGTAAATCAGAAATAATGATAACCACCTCATTAGGTTTTTGAAAGAACTAAAGTTTGTAAAATTCTTAGCACACTGCTTAGTACCTAAGTACTCAAAATAACATATGGATCCTTAACCGCAAATGAGAGTGACCACAGATCTCCAAGGATGTTGCCTGAAACAACCAGTTGAAAATCTGAAATTTACTTGAATTTTCCTGTTTTAATTCAAAAATTCACTTGAAAATTATGATCTATGACTCCAATATGTGTTATACTATGGTTGTTGTTGTTAAATGTTTCTAATGGTCATTCTCTCTTGAATGACCTATGCATTTAAATATCAGTTCATTCAATTGTTAGTGGACCTGTCTCTGGTATCAATAATTTTATCTGTGTCCCCAACTAATTTACTGCTTTTGATATGTTGTGAACTTGAAAATACGATTTTCATGCTTATTGGGGTTATAAATAATTTAGAAATACAGATTCAATACACAATATACAAAAAAGGCTTGAGAAGCTTCTCATGAATGAACTTTAGCATACAGACTTTGTGATTTCTCCTCTCACTGCTCAGAGGCATTTTGTGCTTGATTCCTGATTCATGGCCACATTCCAGAAAAGTAGGATAATCAGCTTTTGTGGTTCTTCTGCTTACGGAATTTTTTCTTTTAATTTTAAAATATTTATTAATTCATTTAAAAACAACAAACACATTGCATGTTAACGTAACAAAAATATTTTTGTGAAAAATAACTATATTTAAAAAAATACAGAGAAGAATGGCATTATTTTACCTATTTGTAAATCTCTTTAATGTCTGTCTTAATAAAAGACAAATGATTTCCCCTATCTGATTCTGCATTCAGTTTGTTGTGATACATGTCATGTAGCCTCTGGAAAACTCTACTGTAACATGTGGAAGAACAAGAGGAAAAGGCAAAATTATGAAAATAATTTTGACTCCCAGACACAAAAAGGTCTCAGGGAACCCAGATGTCCCCAGACCACACCTTAAGAACCAGTGCATAAAGCAGATAGATCCATGCAGGAAGCCTTCCAACTCCCACAGTTATCAGTTACATGAGTTCATAAATACTTGTTTTGTGGTTAGCTTAAACCAGCTGGAATTGGGCTTCTGCTACTTGCAAATAAAAGAGTTCTGAGCAATACACTATGTAACCCTTCATAGTTCCTTCTTGTTTAGGAGAAAGTTTAGGGAAACGTAATGCAGTCTCACAGAGGAAAACTTCGAAACTTCATGTTGTTTTCTCTTTCTACTGCTAGCCACCTTCCTTCCACCTCTAACTTAAAATTCTTCCTGGTTTATTAATCAAATTCCTTCTTCGGGTACTTAGGAAATTCTGATAACCATAAATGTCACTTCCAGTCATTTGAATTCCAGTTAGCAAGTGCATGCACATAAATGTCACAAAGAATCCAGAATCCCTTCAAACGGCAACTGATCGTTTGTTTTACTTCTGAGAATTTATGTAGGAAAATTAAATATACACTATTTAAAAAATCATTCTTGGAGCCGGCGCGGTGGCGCAAGGAGTTAAGTGCGGGCGCTCCGCTGCGGCGGCCCGGGGTTCGCTGGTTCAGATCCTGGGCACGCACCGATGCACTGCTTGGCAAGCCATGCTGTGGCGGCATCCCATATAAAGTGGAGGAAGATGGGCACGGATGTTAGCCCAGGGCCAGCTTTCCTCAAAAAAAAAAAAAAAAAAAAAAGAGGAGGATTGGCAGATGTTAGCACAGGGCTGATCTTCCTCACACAAAAATAAATAAATAAATAATAGATAATCATTCTTAAAAATTAATGTTCATTTCTTAAAACCAGATGAATACTGAGAACAGTTGGGTAATACTAGATTTGAGAGTGGTTTTTATTATACATTAACAATTACTTTTCAGAAAGGACAGCTCCAAATGGGAAGTTATCAGAAAAAAAAAAATCCTCTCCAGAGGGATAACAGAAATATCAATGTCTTTTAAGAAGTAAGTTTTATTCTCAAAATTTACTTCCCACAACTACATGCATCAAATTAACTGTAATAAATAAAGAAATCTAAGTGTAACCAGGCAAAAGGGATGGGATTTGCTGAAGAACAAGGCTATCTTTGTCCTTCCCCCCCTCAAAAAAAATGTATTAAACCAAGATGAAATGCGTTTATTGAAGAAAAACTGTGCATCTTCAACTGAGGCACGATCACCCCTAAAGTTCTGTGTTAGGAAGCACACAAATGACACCAGATAAACACTGTGCATTTTCCTAATGTGTCAATTTTACTTGGAGGTTTTAGGGGAGAAAATAGGTATATTAAAACAACACTGATCTACTGGAGGCATATCACACATACGTGTGGATAATATGTGTGTAAATACACACAGAACATACATATACTTTCAACGGCAAAGAATATCTCTAGAACAGCCACGCACACACAAATGATAACACTGGTTGCTTAGGAAAAGGGATTTCAGGTTTTCAACTGCTTCAGGCAATGTCCCAGAGATCCGCGTTCACGCTCGTTTACGGATAAGGCCGAAAAGAGTTTGAGATGCACTGCCCCGGGGCGCTCCTAAACAAATCTGGAATTAAGACTGTCTCTGCAAAAATAAAGGGGACAATAAGAAATGAGAAAATAAAACGAAATAACTGATTCATCGCGTGTCCGTGTGAGCAGCAGACTGTGAGCTTACTGGCGAGTCCCGTCCTGTCCTTCTCCGCTGCGTCCACAGGACTGGACGCAAGAACTGGGGTACCCTTCGCGGGCGAGAGCTTTAACAAAAACTTGTTGACTGGGAGGAGCTCTACCTCGTGTCTTATGTTTCCAAGACGTAGTACCCGAAACTGAAGATAGTCATTTAAAGCGTAAAGCAATGTCAAAACAAAAATACGCTGAGAATAAAAACACAACGGAAGCACGGCTTCAAATCCTTTGTTCGACTTGCCACTCACTTTTGGAAGAGGCAGGAGGGGGCTGGAAAAGAAAAGGGGCCACTCGGAGAAGGACCCGTGCGGCAGCATCCATCTGAGGAGCCAAGTGTCAATTAGCAAGCTCCGCCTTTCCTCCTCGGCAGCCGCTTCCAGCCGCCCGGGGAGAACCGAAGGACCCCAGAGCGCGGGTGGGCGCCGGGAGCTGGACAAGGACGGGAGCCTCGGGGGACACGAGGAAGGCGTGGCAGGGCAGCGCCAGCCAGGGGCACCCCGGGCCGAGGAGCCTCCGGCAGGGCGATCGCGCGAGGGAGGGATGGGCGGCTGCCGGGCTGCGATGACAGCTCGGAGCGGCTCCGGGGGCGGGGGCG